CCCCCCCAACCCCCCCCATCCTCCGCGCGGCCTCTCACACTTAAGGCCTCGGCTGGGGGACCGGCGCTCAGCTCCCACACCAACAAAACTTTGTCACTCTGGGTGGGGACTACAAAGGAGATCACCTCCGCCATGGCAAGGCCGCACGTGCGCCTGCGCGAGGAACTACCGCGCACTTCAAATCGTCTGCACGCAGAGGGCGGGGCCGGAGGGGGGAGGGGGAGGAGCCCGAGCTCCACGAGAAGGAGTTTCTCTACGTGTAGCCTTGGCTGTCCTGGACACCAGTGGCTTTACCGCGCCAGAGGGACGAAGGAGAAAAGGAGGCGGGCTATAGACCAGGCAGGCCTCGAACCCACGGCGACCTGCCTACCGTTCACAAAACCAAGTGTAAGTGACGAATACAGAACAAGAAAACTAATAACTTTCTTATTTTCGAACCGCTTTATTCCCCGGAGGGGGTGCACCGTTCCCGGAAGTACTGCAATACCAGGTCGATGCGTGGAGTGGACGGAGCAAGCTCCTATTCCAACCCCCAGCTCCAAAAATCCATTTAATATATTGTCCTCGGATAGAGGACGTATCAGATATTAAACTGATAAGAACAGATACTACACTTGATCTTAGCCAAAAGGCCGAGAAGCGATACCTGCCGCTCCCCGCCCGCCCGCGCCAGGGACGGACGCACCCACCTTCACATCACGGTCACACTCGCTCACGCGTCCACACGCGCGCGCCCGACACCGACTCTGCCGTCCTCTCGCGTCCAACACTGTTATCCCCAAAAAAAGCCTGTGGGATCCAACAGAGGTCGAGAATTTCTCCTCCCAGAGTGGCTCTTCTCGCTCCCAGAGTTCCCGAGAGCGTCCTCATTTGCATGCCCCGCCCAAGCGCGCCGGAAGCTGGAGCCTGAACTGTCTCCGACGCCTCTGGGTAGGCTGGCCGGCGCGCTGAAGTCTCCCTGGGGTTTTGCCAGGCTCTCCCCCTCTCCATACCCGCGCAGTCTTTCCAAGAAGTGGCCACACCGACCACAAGCGGCCCGCTCTTTCTCCCTTCCCCGCTCACACCTTCCTCTCTAACGTTGCGTACCTGGTTCTGAGAGCTTTGTTGTTAGGCGGTCAGATCAACAACGGGTTGGGGTGGGCTTTGACAGCTGAGTACAATTCCCGAGAACGCGCACTCTGCCCAGCTCCAAGGATAGAAGGATCCTTGAGGAAAGGGGCCTTTCGATTTCAAGCTTATTTGAGCCATGTATCTCTGGGGTGTGTGTGTGTGTGTGTGTGTGTGTGTGCGCGCGCGCGCCATATATCTCTGGGGTGTGTGTGTGTGTGTTTGTGTGTGTGTGTTGGGCAGGGGAGACTCAGGTTCAAATCCCAAGCATCCACATGGAGCTCACAGCCATCTGTAACCTCAGTTCCAGGGGAGCCTCACGTGGCGTACGCAGGAAAAACATTCATATACATAAGTAAATCTATTTTTTTTTTTTTTTAGACAAAAGAAGTAAATAAAATTTACAAGGCTCAGGACGTAAATAGTAAATAAAAGCTTTCTAAACCTACAGAATTCACAAGGCCCTTCCCCCAACTCAGGTGAGCAGTAATAATTACTGGGCAGAGGAGCCTCTCCCCACTAGCCCAGCTGCCTGTGAGTCAAAGAACTCCAAGAATGCAGGTGCTATGAGCATAGGCTTTTGGCTATGCAGCAGCTGCCTTTGAGTCTCCCATGGTTTTTTGTTGTTTTGGTTTTTTTGTTTTTCAAGACAGGATTTGTCTGTGTATCCTTGGCTCAGGCCTTGAACTCACAGAGATTCACCTTCCTCTCTTGAGTGCTGAGATTACAGGCATGTGCCAACGCACCCACACTTTTATAAGCAACTACCTACGTTCCTCTAAGTAACCCCAATAACTCATTGATTCACCAAGCTAGACTTGGGTAGATTCATTTAAGTGTGTTGTCAATGCCGGTTTTAGGGTGAAAGAGAGCTTTGTTCACATCTCCCCCAGACAATGTCGCTCCCTTAATAGCCAAGCCATCCCTCCAGCCCAGAGAGGAATCTGTGAACCAGGAGACTAGGTCCAGGACCTAAATGGGCCAGCCCCTAAAGAAGGTGAAAGACTAAGGGAAGTATGGGGAACTAGATGGTCAGGCAAGACCTCGTTGAAACGCTCAGAGTGGCCCCAGGGTGGACAGGTGTATGTGGGGGTGGTTGATCCCATTCTCCTAAGAAGGGTGACCAGGCTTGGATCCTAGGGGTAGCAGTGTAGTGGGTAAGAGGTAACCAGATTCAGGGTTCTTGGATAGCAGAGTTGTTCAAACTTGCCTTTATGGGGGCTCCAGGGGATGTGGGTTCTAGAGACAGACAAGTAGGAGTACTTCCAAGAGTTCTGGTCAAAGCTGCTGAAGGACAAATTTGCAGAGAGGTTTGGGTTCTGAGATCAGCTTCAGAGTCACGAGCTACAGATGGGTGTCAGACAGCCAAGGTCAAAGGACAGCTAAACAGTGGCAGGCACCAGGCTGCACAAGTGGGGACACTTTTTTCCTGTTAGTGGCAGCAGGGATTGGAGCCAAGGCCTTGCACATTCTAGGCAAGTGCTCTACCAGGGTGCAGTTTTCTCTGTGTGGCCTTGGCAGTCCCAGAACTAAGTCTGTAGACCAGGCTGGCCTTGAACTCACAAAGAGCAAGATGACTGGCTGAATGCCAAAGCAGCTTCAGGATGGTACCTTCCATCATCTTAAAGGCAAGACACACAATAAGACCCACTTGAAAGTACATGAAACCAAGCTGGGCCTGGTCTACCAGCCTGGCCATAAAAAGCTCCAAGACAACAACTACAAAAGACCTTGTCTCAAAAACAAAAAGTGAAACAGTCACAATGGCACCCTTTAGCTGTGTCACTCAAAAAAATCAAGTCCTCTTTCTAGATGGTGAACAGAAAGATAAAAAGACCATTTTCTTACTGTTTTCCACACCCAAAAAAATATAGATGAGGTGGCACACCCGTAATCCCAGCACTCCGGCAGAGGCAGGTGGATTGCTGTGAATTTTGAGGCCAGCTGGGTCTACCGAGTGAGTTTCAGGACAGCCAAGGCTACGCAGAGAAATGTATCTGAGACCTGGAATCAGGACTTGCATGTTTGGTTCCAGGTTTACAGCCCCGCCGTGTGCTTCTGTGGTTTGGGAAGATGGCTCTGAGTTCATGTGGGCTTTACAGTCCACTCTGCTTTTATTTTGGTTTTTCAAGACAGGGTTTCTCTGCGTAATCCTGGTTCTCCTGGAATTTGATTGGTAGCTCAGGTTAACCTGCCTCTGCCTCCCGAGTGCTAGGATTAAAGGTGTGCACCATGACCACCACCCTGTTTTGTTTTGTTTTGTTTTGTTTTCGAGACAGGGTATCTCTGTGTAGCCTTGGCTGTCTTGGACTCTTGGACTCACTTTGTAGACCAGGCTGGCCTCGAACTCACAGTGATCTTCCTGCCTCTGCCTCCCAGAGTGCTGTGGGACGTTGATTGCAGGAGGGTGGTAGGGGACCGGCACCGCCAGGGGGCGTGTGGAGGATGTTCCTATCAGATACGTATTACCTCTCAGCGACTATATACTATCTTTTTATTACATCGGTGTTTGACTCCATGTATGTCTGTGTGAAGCTGTTGGATGCCCTGGTTCAGAAGTTAGTCATCAGCTGCCATGTGGTTGCTGGGAATTGAACCCCGGTCCTCTGGCAGAGCAGTCAGCGCCCTTAACCGCAGAGCCATCTATCCAACCCCATCAAGGACCATATTTTAAGAGGCAAAACATGTCTTTTCTTACCAGTTTACTATCTGATGGGCCTCTTATCCCAGGAAGGCAGCTTACGTGGCTTTTCGGAACAACTTTTTGCCTAACTTTTTCCTGCTGGGCTCAGGGCTGAAGTGCCTTCTGGGATGCTCATGCCCCGCCCTTCTCCAGGAGGGGTGTGGCCAGCACAGCGGAACAGGCTTCCAGGTGCTAGAGGGCAGGCCATGGCACGTGTGTGGTCAGACCACAAGTTTTTCCTCCCACGATGTGAGTCCCAGGGATCGAACTCAGGTCGTTAAGCTTAGCGGCAGGCATTTTCACTGGCTGAGCCATCTCACTGGTCCCATACAGGCACCTCTTCAATGCACACGAGAGACAGTGATTTCTGAGTTCTAACAAGTACTCCCCGCCCCCCACTTTATAGCATAGTGTTGTGAAGACTTTCCTCCTGCTGCTTTTCTACCCAATTCCCCTCCCTCACCTGCCTTTTCTCAAAACACTGGTCGGCCTCTGGTGTGTGTGCAACTAAAAGTAGAAACACGGATCCAGGTATTAGACACAATTACGCGTGCATGGTTTCTTTATTGTTTTCATCCTGAAGGGTGAGATCTCACACCTAGGACAGCAGGTGCCTGGCCTTGAATCCGCTTGCTGAATGAATGAGTGAATGTCAATCGACTCCACGTGCACGATGCAGACAGCTCTCCCTGCTGCAACTCCCCAGGGTTTGCCGCCCGCTGACCACCGACTGTTTGCGGGCTCTCTTCTACTTTCTAGTCTGGAGAACCAGAGAAGGGCGTGTCCTGGGGATTTGTCACTCCACCCACCCAACAGCCAGCTCTGGACTCTGTCGTGCGTGCCTAAAGCCATTTGGGAGTGTCACAACAGCGCATCCAATTTGGACAGAACTCGAGGCAGACAGTTTTGAGGTTGCGCAGGGCTGGAGGAGACGGAGGAGCGCCCGCGTGACCTGAAGCGGTGCGGAGTTCTGCACAGAGGCCTGCAGAGAGCAGTCTTGGGAAATTCCATCTTACATTTTCTCTTTCTTGTCCTGCTAGCGCCTCCCTTTGCCTCTAGTTGTCCATGAGTCTATATTTTAAGAAGCAAACCAAACCGGTGTGGATTTTCCACCAGTGTGATCGGCTGGAGCACGCCCGACAAAGCCAGAACTCGAGTTTCAGGATTTGGCCGAGTGATTCATGTATTCCAGAGTCCCCGAGTGTCCGGGAGGGGGGGGTGCCCTGGGGGCATCAGGTGGAGTAGGCTGGGAATGCCAGGCTCTTGATGAACCAGAGACAGGTCCCAAGACAGCCGGCATTTTAGGTGACAGTCCTCAACCCTCGAAGATAACATGCCACTGTTTGCTTCCCAGAGGCCAAGGGCATTGGGCAAATGAAAAGATATTTTATAACCACATCTGAGAACCCCGTATTTGAAAATAAAAAGAATTGTACGTCACCCCAGCCACTTTCCCTGCATCCTTGTAAAATGTCATCCCTGTTGGAAAGAGGTCTTGGGAGCTTCCGGGCCACAGTTTTCTCTTGTGCCATTAAGAGGCCT